ATGAACCTATTCATGATCCTGCTCTTGGCACTAAGCTACTAGGATACATGAAAAACTAAAAACCGCTCATAGTTATCAGCATCAGCATAGGAGGCACTCGTAACAGAAATACAGCAGGTAGCGACAGAACAAAATTTATTCTTCTGCCTTTCTCTCTGCTCCCTTCTGCTCCTCATTCTCCTCCTTTCTGTCCCGTTGCTGGCACCCTGTGCCGACCTTTATTTTTAATAACCCCTTTCTGCCCTCCTTCCCCTATCACCGCACCCATCCCTCACTCGCATCGCAGCTAATTAACACATGAAGTGGCTCCGTACGGCTCTTTGCTTTCGCTGAGAGAGAGAGCAGAATCAGCAGTCATTTTGCGCCTTTGCCCTCCTCTCTAGTCCAGCTTTACTGGTTTGCCCGTGAGGAACAAACGCTAAGAGCCGAGCGTTTGGGCTCCCACCTGCCTCATGGCTGCTCAACAGCAGCAGAAACAGGAGCACGATCAGCAGCACGGTGCATTTCGGTACTGTCCCTGCTTGTTTTTATGGCTGTTGCTACAAAAATATACTTCACCGCCTCCTTTGGTCCTGCAGGGCCTAAACTGTTTTCAGTGGTTACAGGGTCAACATAGAGCTGATTCCAGAAGTCGCTTTCTTGAGGAACGGATCGTAAAGGCAAACAGTAAGAAGGAAAGGAAACTGGACCTTTGAGCTGTATGCAGCTACCAGTCATATGACATTAGCAGATTATTTAAGCTTTCACATTTAGTGTCATCTCGCAAAAATACATAAGAATTGGTTACTGATGCAAATACAAGAAAGAAAACTGCACATCACTACATTATTTATTATAAAGCACACAAATTTCAGGCTCATTTTCAAGACAATTGGCAATACTAATTCTTCAGAAAAGCGGGAGGATCTTCAGAAGAGAAATCTTGAAGGTATAGATGTCGAGTTTTGTAAAACAGTAATCTGCATCTAGCAAGCCCCTTAAAACGTCTCAGAATTGCCACTGGTTCTTCTATTCTACCCACATTTTAGAAAGCGTTAGACAAGGCACCACTGGAAAGCGTGATTGTTTTCACTAGGAGATATGGATGGGTAAATAACATAAGATATATATCATGCATTTGTAGCAGACTGACAATTGCAGAGGTCTGCTGCTGTCCTTAACTGTGCCTATCACAAAAGTCTGCAATACAGCTGTATCTATTAGAGATGACTGAATATTTCATACAACAATTATTATTCAAAATAGAGCTTTCTACTAGAAAAAATTTCTGTGTATTTATTGTTTCTTATTTTTCCCAAAAATAGATTTAACAAAAAATTGTATTTTCCTTGCTTTTTTAAAACTCTTTCCCCCCCCCACTACCTTCACCCCAAAAAGATATCCCCCAAAAACTTTTTAGCTTCAGATTTACAGTTGCCTTGAAAAAGAAAGGGTAGGAGCAAAACCCCAGTGTTACTTGGCTGTTTCCATGACAGACAGACAGGCATACACATACCTTTCCAGTTCACAGCTGTCCTCGCACATGGAAACGTCACTGAATTTAGTATTTTCTGGCTCCAGACAGGGCATCTGCCCCTTTCTTGAACAGGGAATCTGACACATCTGGACACTCTTTGATAAAAGATGCTTCGGCTAGCCATTTTTATTACATGCTGATTACTATGGACAACACTGTGCTCTCTGGTAACTAATCATACCGCCAAAAGTAGATATATCCAGTATGGCACATTGCTGCACTAGCAAAAAAAATGTTTCCTAATCAAGGAATATGCCCCTTAAATGCTCTTTCTAAAAGCTAGATTTTTATTATACTAAGTAAAAACACTCTGACTGTTTTTCTCCCCTTTACAATGCCAGATTTACATAAAAAGAGAAATGATATCTAGAACAGTAAGTAACAGTGGGAAGTATTCTGGTTTGTCTATAAATCTCTTTATCCTAGTAGTCAGAATGGGAGTCCAGATATATAAGTCTATGAAATATTTACTCTAAATTATATTTGGAAGTATTGCAACAGGGTTAAAGTCTTTTAAAAAAAGAAATCTTCTCTGCTGGACCACTCACAATACGGAGCTTTCCCACTGTAGAGCCACCTTGTTTCCTTTCATAGGGAGTCTCTCATTTCCTCCTCTGGATTTAAGCCTCCAAGCCTATTTGTGTGTTCTATTTAAAACACGCCTGCCGTCTCAGGGAAAATGTCTCTCATCTTTTCCTCTGTCTCTCTCTTTCTCTCCCTTTTGTTGTTTTTTTTTTTCTTTTTAAGTGGAGACTACTTAATTTTCCCACAAAAGCTTTGTCCACCTCAAACAAAGATAATCATCACTCTGTGAGTACCCATCTTTTTTATATTCTAGCTCTTTCATAGTAGAGGTTTCGACTCATCAGCAGCAGAAGTGAGAGCTATGTTAATGACTCACCTGTTAATCAGTTCCTTTAAAAAATAAGAACAAAACAAATCAGGACTTCATGCTCTCCAATATTAAACGGTGAGACAAAAATACTAGGAAAGCTGATCTGGCATACACAGAAAAAAAATTGTGCTAGTAATGGCTATATAAGTAGGCATATGTATTTCCTCAGAGAACTGATCATCAGTGGAAACAAGCTCAATAGCCCTGTTGTGTCTTGCATCCTATTCATCAGCTGTAGCATTCTAAGAAGGCAAGTGTGATGAATATCTACTATTTGAGTTCACGGCCAAACTACTGCAAAATAGACTATGGGTAAAACTCGAGGCAGATGTGTGAGTTAACCTTGTGTGGGTTCTGTTTTCTAGATGCCCCCACTATTAAGCTGCAGCTAAAGCCCTAAGAGTATAAACAGCAAGTAAACAAATCTTGCAATCATTCTGGTTAAACTGGAGTGATATTTCTCTGCCTTACTTTTGCCCTGGCACAACAGACAGCATAGACCTTTAATCTAACCTGTGATTTCATCTCTGAAACTAAATCTTTTCCATAATATGGTCAAATAGGCTAAAGAGAAATTTTTAATGAGCATTGGTTTTAATGAATTACGTTTTATTTCCATTTAGATTTCTAAATGTGGAATTGAGGAATTGTGAGATAATTAAAAATTGTTCTTTAAGCCCTGGAATTTTTAATAGGTTTTTAATGATTGCAGCTTGCTCAGCCACAGTCAGAAGGTGCACTAGGAGAAAAGATGAAATTTAGGCTCAGATAGTCAAATATGATTACACACTTTCAGCCCTTAAAGTTTGAAAGAGGAAATAAAGATAGACTAACCACTTCCTCCTCTAAAGAGACAGATACAGAAACCTGCATGCCCTAATCCCGATTCTGGAGTGAAGGGTAAGATTAAGCCACTCAAAGATATTACATAAAGACTAGGTACTAATATTAGTATTAAAAAAAAAAAAAACCAGCCTGAAGGGACGCAATCTATGTTAATGTAGAAAATATTCATGTTTTTCTGATAATGCAGAATGAATGAACTTTAATATTAAACTAGCTACCAATGCATGCATACACATTCTTTTCTCTCAACCAGTACTCACATGTACAGATGTATATGTACCATGTAGTAGTCTATTTTAAGCGGAAGCAAAGTAAACAAATCCATCCAGTTATGCATTAGATAATCTTAACAATAGTTCTGTATCATTTTAAATGGAATAATGGAAAGCTTATTTGTATACTGAACTACAAATAAGACCGTAATTTATTGGCTGAGAAGCTGTGTTTGAGAGTCCTACAATCCAGATGTTACAGGCCTGTTTGTGGAGAAACATTCAGTGCCAGTTGCCCAGTGATGAAAATCATATGCCAGCTCAAAATATAAAAGCGTAACTAAAAACAAGGAAGTGGATTTATCAAGCTTAAAAAGTTGCTATACTATGCCAACAGTATAGGACAACTGATCATGAATTATATGTTACTTAAATACCTATCAAATCATTAGCAAGCTATTTGAAATATATCCAAAAAAGGACAAGCTTATATAAATGATTAATAAACTATATAGAGAAATAAAATCAAGATCATGAGTTAAAGAAGCACAGATATTTCTATTAAACCCTCATTCATAAAAAAGGAAAGATGAATAATTTACTGAGGAGAAGGTGAAAAAATATTTCCATATATACTGTTGTACAGTTAAACACAAGCACATTCTTAAAAATGCTCTGCAGCAATTCAACTCAGGTTATTTTTTCCATTCTGTACTACCCTGCAACAATATATTTCAAATTCCTACACACACAAATCATTGCACACGTAACAGCAGATGCATTGTGTGTAATATATAATTTAAGTATATACCAAACTGAAAATATTTTGCCCACACATACTTTCCGCTATGAATTTCTTACAATGTTTAATGCTTTAAAATGTTGAATAGTCTTTGCTTGAATTCCTAGTTCTTTTTGAACAATGCCTCACAGTTCCTCACATTGTCAGTAAATAGATTAATGCATACAACTCTTTCAGAATATATTGTTTCACTTCAATATGTTTGGCTTACAGCACATTTTACAGCGTGCTTAACCCTCCAGTGTCATCTGTAAAGACGTTTGAGATAAAAATATTATGAAAGTATGAATAACAGTCACATACCTCATTTAAACATAAGCAAACAAATTTAAACTCAGGATTTCTTCTAGTCCATAATTAACATCACTACTGAAAAACAATTGCAGCCCAACACAGGCACTATAATACTGAAATTTCTCTGGCACAAAGGGTTTTCTTATCAAAGTTAAAACATGAACCCATTGCCACACCACCAGGAAGCTAACTTTATGTCTAGTATAAAACAAAAAACATGTTATTTCCCCCTCAAGCAAGCTAGAAAAAGCAGGGCTGTCTAAAACCTTCATGTCACACACAGTCATAGGTACGCAGCAATGCTAATGTGAAATATGTTACAGGAAAGATGAAACACCATTCAGCTATGATCAACTCAAAGTAAACATCAGGCATTATGGGAAAAACAGGAACTATAGCCACCATCACCAAGAAAAGAAAGCTGTAACAGCTTACCTGAGACAAGCGAGACTGTGTCTTTCTCCCATGAGACAACAGTGATGTATGCCTCCACAGAGGAGGGGATAATGCACTTGAACACTGCTACATTGCCTCTCATGGCTTTCTGGTCCTCCACACGGACTGTATAGGGTTCCCGTAAAACTGAAAACGGGAGAACGCGTTTCATTAAACAAGTCATAATCATCCACTTCTTAAGCTAGCCGTGTAAAAGTTCACCCAAGAAGGTTACTTGCATTATGAACTTTTTATCTGGGTAAATGATACAGTTTTGTGAGGCTGATTGCAAATGAATATGAAAATATACCAAGATCTTTCTGTTTCCTCGAAATCTGCATTTCACAGTGTTTCCGAGTTCCTCCACTACCTAATTCTTAAGACAAGGAGAAAAGATTTTTGCAGGAACTGCACATTTTACAGGGGTAAATGGTGTTATGTCTTCTGTTACTTATCTAGTTTGTCATGCCATGCTTCCCCTCACAAATTGTTTTCTGCTCCATCAAAGGGTACAAACTACATATAACTACTGCGTGTGAACAAGACATCCAGAGGGTAGAAAAGCTGATCAGTGTCATTTAAGATTTTGAAGAAATGAGAACTGAAGAAGAAAATCGATGGAGGTGACAGTCAGAGAAAAAAAAGCAAGGTGTCTCAGAGCCACTGAGGAACAATAGCAGGTAAGGTAAGAGCTACAGTCAATTGGCCAGCACAAAAGAAAATGAGGTAGCAATCAGAAAATAGAAACAGTGATTGCACAGTGTGGAAGCACTGAGATGCATGATATAATTCTTCCAGCAGCTGGAAGAATTAAACTAATGGCTGAAGGGGAAAGAGAAGATGCAGACCTGGACAAATCTTTCATGCCAAACTAAGGTTGCTGGGATGAGATGCGGTTGCCTAGGGTGGGAGACTGGAAAGTAGGAAAATCCTGGCACTGAAGCAATGCAATGAAGAAAGAGGGGTGAAAATCCTGTGAGCAATAGTTAATGGAGAAGAAGGCAGAACAGCAAAGAAATAAAAGTTATTTTCTACAAGAAGAGGTAAATGAGTAAGATAGGAAGGACAGGCAGAAGCTCCACAGGAGCACAAGGTCAAGGAGAAAGAAAAAAAACCACCACAGACCAATATAGTTATTTATCTTGCGGTGGTGGTGGTGAAGTGAGGAACAGTTTCAATCAACATAAGGATAAATGTAGTGTAAGATGGCGTGTATGTCTGAGGCATGCATACTATGTTTAAGGGTAAAAAAATTTGGCAAGAACAATCCTAGTGCACCAGTGTAACCAAGTCAGCAGTGCGGAAGTATCATGTTACAGCAACACTTCTTGCTCACGTATACTGCCCACAAACCTCTACCGATTACATTTAACCACATTCATTGTGGACTAAGGCATCTGTAAATCCTTTGCAATGTTTGTACATATATTTCCATATAGCAGGAGCACTGGAATTTTTAAATGTCAACCCCATTCACAATGGCTTTAAAGAAAAAAAATGAATGTGCTGAAATGTAACTGTAGTTGTCAAAAAATGCAAACAGTAGTGAGTTTTCAGGTCCAGTGCCACCACTGCAAGAAGACTGAAGTTCTCTATTTCAAACAAGACTTTAGCAATAGAGCAGCTAGAAACTCTAATCAAAAATAAACAAACTTAATGATAACTTAAAAAATTAAGACAAATCCATCTTCTGTAATGAGATACACACCACCAGTTTTTAAAAAAAGTCAACTTTTTTTAATCTAAAAAGTTAAGTTCTTTAACTCTGTTATAAGGATACCTTTGCTGAGCTGATAATAGCATAAGCACCCTTAATGCAGTGACTTCACCACATTGGCTGCCCTACGATGAAGCAGCCCCTAATCTTGTTCCACACTAGAGGGAATGGCTCCAACGCACATAGATCATCTTTATGAGGCTGACTCTTGTCTAATGCTCATGCTCCAACCATTATTTACAGGCAAGGGCTTTTTTAAAGCAATATCCTAACACACTGCTAAAAATAAGGCAAGTTTAACCTTGCTTGTATTTTTTCAGAACTGTTCAGCCCAGTTTGAAAACCTGCTGTATCATTTTATAGCTTACTGTCCCATTGATCGTTTCAGTAAGCAACCACAGAAACTGTGGAGCACATAAACTGGAAGGAGATGTATTCATTTCCTTGCTTAAAAAATTTACATCATTGTGAGTTCAGGGGCCCCTCAGTGATTTCCAGATCTTGGTTTTGCCACCCCGCACAAATGATTTGCTGATTTAATTTTTTTTAAATTCTAGTTCTGTGAGTCTTGATTTTATATGAGAATTTTAGCCTTTGCTAAAAAATATTCATCCTCCTGTAATTGCACAGGAAAGTTTGCATGTGAAATGGAAGCATGCACCTTCATTTCCATCTGGGATTGCCCTGGAAGAGATTTGAGTCTTTGTTGCTTTACAATGGGGGAGATGGTGGGGGGAGGGCAGGGGGTGTGTTTAATCTGCATTACATGGAAACTTTATTTGAATTGCATTTTTGCATATATCTGTGAGCTTGAACCATCATAGCTGCTACCCATCTTCTTAGGTAACAGATAAATCAGCTTCAGGCTTTCCCAAGCTGGTTGTGAGAACGGGCAGACCTATCCTAGTCTTTGCATGGCTGTGCTGCAGTCGGATGCTCCACTGATTGCCTCTGTATTCCTGGGAAACTCTATTGCTTTTGGAGGGAACTGAAAGAGCAGGAGTACGAGAAGGAGAAGAAAAGGGATTAGAAAAGGATCCATAACATCATGCTAATTAGGGCCAAACTGGAGCCGTGTACAAATAAATCTCCACATGAACAGCAATGTTAGTGGAAGCATCATACAGATAAATAAAGTTTATTACTTCATATATTTGAGCAACACAGGGTTTACTTGCTTCTCCTGTACCATTTGAGCATAAAATATACTTACTGCTATGCTTGGAAAGTGGTGTTAAAAACTGTATTTTCCTAGGACTGGCAGATTATACCAGTCTCTGGAAAGCAGACTGACTAATAGCTATTGTCTGCTGTTAGGCACAATGACAGCTCTAATGCACAAGGTATATTCATGGGAAGAAGGGACTTGTTTAACTTGTTATCCAAGCCTCATGTTAAGTGGAAAGTTGATTCATACAGCAAAATGAATGGATAAAGGGTAAAAGGCTAAAAAGGGAGGGAGAAGGGGCAAAAAAAGCGTTTGGTCCAAAAAAACAGTTTATGAGCCCAGCAGCTACAGCCACCCATTACAAAGCCTTTCTTTTCATGCCCTTCTTCCATTTGAGAAGTTTATTTCTAAAACTGAATAGATAGATCTGTGCCACAAGATAGTCCCAGCATATAAAGCAGTCGTCTTCTGGGGTTACTTGAATAAAAGGGTCACTGCTGAGCAATGGGCATAGCCACATACTGTCATCTACATCATATGGTTTCACAACTGAATGAATATCAGTTCAGAGCCTTAGCCATCAAGGTTGCAAGTTTTAGTTTTAGCCTTCTTTAAACCATCACTTCAGTTAATTTACAAAACAAAAAATGTGGCAACTGATATTGGAAAAATTTCTGCCTAAAAGACTCTCAAAATTTAGATACATTAACTAATCCACATAGGACAACAAATATAATGTTCTCTCTAAATACTCTGATACCTTGTCCACAAACTTTTAAAACTAAAAACAAAATCAGGGAAAAAAAGGCCACATATTCTCCAAATGCAAAATGGGTTTCTATGTATTCTTGCGGGCGCCAGTGGTTTTCCAGCTTTTTTGATCTGTGGACGACTAAGTGTTTTTCAGAGGAAGCAAAGATCATTATAGAAATTCTGCACACATAACATATGTACTTTCTTCTTCTAGTCACTTCTTGTGTAAAACACTGTTTTAGACTATTAGACTATAATTTAGATAAGACACACAAATTTCTTGAAAATGTAGGGTTTAGTCTTGCCTTCCAGTTGTCAAACTATGAATTTCTGAACATTAAGTTATCATTAAGAAGAGCTGACTGCATTCTTTTGCTTAAGAAGAGAGTCCAGGACAACAACTCTTTAACTATTTGCTGTTTACAATTTTTCCAATATAAGTCTTGTAAAGACATACCTCCAAAACATATGTTTCTCTTCTGAAAAAAGATTATCATAGCTCCACTGACACCAAAGAGACTATGAGGATTTCCATTAGCCAAGGGTCAGCCCCCAGACTAGCTTCTGTTTGTTCATTTGTTTGAATATTGTAATTAACTAAAGTGTGTAGACAAAACCTTCAAAACCTATGCAATTGTGTTTATGTGTTGCGACAAACGGACTGATTTTGGTCTGATTGTAACTCTCTCCTAGTTGAGAGAGTCTGTATACAGTCAGCACAGAAAACAGTAGCACAACTTAAACCAAAAGCACTTCCTATGTACCAAAATCAGTTGCTCAATTATTATATAGGACAAAAGTTTCTCTCTCAAAACAAGGCACAACTAAATATAAGCAACTGAGAAGGGATGTGATTAGGCAAACATTTCACCTTTTTCCAGTCCCTAAATGAAAATCAAAGACTATACGCGTTTCTCCTCACAGCTCTTCAATAAGTATGGTCCGATTAGTGGTTTCATTATTCGTTCATTTTTCCTTACACTTGTTCAGAAGTTCAGGTGATTGATGATCTTCGAAAAACTAATGTTTCACCTCCAAAATCAAATCAAATCAAATCAGGGAGGAGAGGAAAGTGAGGAATCCATTATTTCACTTAACACTGTGAAGAACTCAGGGGTTACTCTTCTGGTCTCTCTCCTTTGATTCACAACAGCTACTACGCTTTGTCCAAAACACCCAAGTTCCCTCCCTCCTTAAGCCCAATTGAGGCAAGTAAAAGATCATACTTACCGGCCTTAATGTGGACATCCTGACTTCTGATTTTCCCTGAAGGATTTTCAGCTGTGCAATAGTAAGTGTTATCATGGATTAAGTTATTAAAGCTTGAAGGAGGGAAGGGGAAAATTTGGAGAGTGCCATTGGGGTGGACGTGGCGGATCCCTGGGACATCGTAGATCTCCTCGCCCGTTGCTAGGTACCATCTGAGCGTCACAGGAGGGATCCCTGCTGCCGGACAGGGTACCAATGTCCCTGTGGTACTAGCAAACACTACCTCTTGCAAAGATGCATTGACAAAATATAGACTGGCGTGTAGATCTTCACTGAAAACTGCAAGACAAAAAAGAAAAAAAAAATAGACCTTGATCAAGTAGTAAACTTCAGCTACACACAAAATAATTTGACTGTTATCTGCCATAAAAATCAAATATGAACTGCTATGATGCCTAATGAAGGTAATCAGAACATTTGGATCCTAATGCAAGCTCTAATGTTTCTCATTTTTAGAAGAAAATATCATCAGATTAAATCCATTAGCTAGGTTGGATCTGAAAATAAAATGGGAATATCCCTTGCTTTGTCCTGTGATCAGAAACAGATCTGATCACTTTTGCATTTGCCGATGCAGTGTTCTTTATAAGGCCAGCCAAAAATCTAGCAGTAATCTATTTCCATGAAATTTCTAGTAACTAACTTTCTGCCTCTAACACAGGCAGCAGTTTCTGTTAGCTTTTATGAATTTATTTTTACAATCTTTTCACAGTAACATAATTTATAATATAATAAGTAGAACTGAGCAAATAATTTTAAAAACTCTGTAATTCCTTAATAACAACACATGCCTATATTTAACACAAATATAATTTAATAAATACATTATATAAATTTGGCCTGTTCTTTCTAACAAAGACTTAGAAACCTAAGTGCAGAAAAAAATTACGGTAACCTTGGCTCTACTACCCGTGTGACTAGAGGCCCCCCCCCCCCCCCCAACTTACGTAGCCTATTCTATCACACCGAAAAAAGTCAGTACTGGTCAGAACACAAGATTATCCCACTACTGCCACGGGCTCTTCATTGCTACCCAGATGGCCTGAAGGCTCCAGATGGCTTGAAGGTTCCCCAACATTTCATCCAAAATACCGTCCTAACCAATACCTATACCAAATACCTTTCCATTTGAGACCATAGCAGCAGAAGTCGTATTTGTTGTGTTTTTTGATAAACTGTAGGAGACACTGCCAATAACACCACTGTATTGTACGTTTGCACATAGAGCTCACCATAAAAACTTACCAATTTTGCTTGACACAAACACAAAAACCTGCATATTTCAGTGTACGAAATGAAGGTAATGAAGTGCATATTCCCGCATATTTCCACTGTATATTTCACTTTATAAATGTAAGGTAATGAAGTGAATTCTGGCATGATAATCTGAAGCAAGGCAGGTAAGAAGCAAGTTTTTCAAAAGGTGATCGTAACGCATCAGGCCCAGGTAAGCATCAGTGAGACATATTTCAAGGTTAGACTTTGTCTGCACAAGACAGGTGTTACCATCCTGCAGAAATACCGAGCAACCTCAATGCTAAGGCACAAAGCACAGCATCCACCTCTGCTGCCACTTAGTCTTGCAGTGGCTGGGAGCACCGAATGGACTATTTTTTCCCTTGTCTTTCCTGACAGCTTGAGGCAAGGAGATAAAAGGTAGGAAGGGATTCTTTTCTAAATATGAACTTGGCACTGACCATCAGCAAAGTGCTCCCCAAAAGAGAATGGGATTGACTCTGGGAAGGAGTAAGAGAGACTCTCCTAAAGTGAAAGGACATCAGGGAAAGACTTCTGGCATGCAGGAGGCAGCTAGATAAGCAGGCCTCACAGAGCAAGATGAAAGGCGCTTGGAGATTAAGAAATAAGAAACTTCAGGCACTGGAGCTGATGAGGCCCTGCATACAGATGAGACAGGTGCTAGTTCAGAATAAGTCCCTTGTAAGAAATGTTTTCTTCCTGGTTGGCTCAGCCCAAGTGAAAACTTGGGTTTCTGGAAAGCAAAAAGAGACATAACAGGACTATGCACAGGAAGGATAAGGGCTGAATAATATGCTGGCATTTTTACATAATTACATTTCTAATTATAGTCATACTGCGAGGCAGAGAACAGAATTGTTGGTAATGTAACAGAAAATTAAAAATATATATATATTTGGCATTGTTCATCTGCTATACCAGCTATTCTCTACAAATATAAGTGAAATAATCAACAGGGCATTTTAATTTCCATTGGCAAAGAAGACTATCATATAAAAGTAATAAATTCAGTTCACATTTGCCAACTTTTATTATCCTATACTGTTTCTCGACAGACGTTCAGGTAGAAACAGTAGATTTTCTATCTGGGGATAAAGAGCTGGATACCAAATTACAAATGTCATAAAAACAGAGAATAGTAATGACTATGTTTGACACCTTCATAGAATCTAACTTTCTAATCAAAATGCAGCACAGCCAAACTAGAGATTCGTACTGGCAGCACATAACAGTGAATTTTTCCAGCTGCATTGTATCCCCTATAGAAGCTTTCACTACTTTTGATGAACTTTCCATCCGTCAACCTATACAATAGTGCTTCATTTTAAAGTAGCATCTGGTACACATTCATCTTAACGGCAGACACAAACACACTAGGATCCCTGGAAAATAATTGCAATGCTATAATACACACGCACATACACAATGCTGACAATCCAGATGTATTTTGTGGTGGAAAACAATGCGTAAGCTACTTGGATACATTCAACAGCAAGAATGGGATTTCATACAGAATCGTTGATTAAAAAGATATTTCTCTGTAATGTTCCACAGGAAGAAAGTGGTTAGCTGAATAACAGAACAACTGATATATCAAAAGCAAATTGAAACTGAGACAAGTCAAAGACAATATGTAATTACACGTTACTTTATTTAATGGTAAAATATGATCGAACTAACCACCATATTTTACAGTAAGCAGCAATAAGTTCTGACTAAAAGTTGCAAGCAAGAGCAGCAGGGAAAGTTGATGAAAGTCAGAGATATAAAACAATAACGAGAAATACCTGGAGAACAAAATAAAGTAAGAATAAAAGGAAAAATAAAAACCAGACTGGTTCTACCAACTGCCCTTGTGCTATTCTGAAAATAAAACTGTTAAAGTATTTGGTTTCCAGAACAATGATTAAAGATGTGAGGGCCCAAGAAAACAAGCTTGGTCTGCCTCCAAAACCCCTTCTGCATGCATGGACCTCAACCACACCTCTAAGCCAAAACCAAAATGACTTACAGTTCAATTTGACTACCCGTGGCCTTGACAAAGAAATATCAGCATTTTCAAAGAGATGGCAGCAGTTAGCAGTCCAAGGGAAGGAAAGTCAAAGATTCTTCCTGAATAAGGGTTATTTATTACTGAAAATCAATTAACACCTGAGAGAAATAGGAGGAAGCCTGCATCTCAGCCTGCTTCCCAATGGATGCCCCAACCGAAATGATGAGGTAAAGGGCAGCCTGCACCTGTATGGGCTTCACAGCAAGAAGGCCTATAGAAAACCTATGCTCTTTACCATATGGTTAAAGGAGCGCGTAAACAGAGTGTCAGATCAACAGACAGAGGGCAAGAGACACTGCTTGAATCTCAGGTTAAATAGATACTATAATTGTGTTTACATAACAGGAATGGGAAGGAAGCAAGGAAGGATATGTTTTTTGTAATTTTAATCAAAATACCTTAAGACTCAGCCACTTGAAGTGGTAAGGGGAACTGACAAAATATAATATGCAAGGAAATTTCTCCTGCTTTTCAGGGGAGACAGGGCTGCCACGTTGTGCCTAGCACAGTGCTGAACCTGTCAGATGGATACAAAATTCCTTTTAGCACTTTAGAAATCTCCTGACAAGTGAATGGGCTTATCTCACGACAAGCTGGACAGTGGGTCTGCAAGTTGAGCACACTCAGAAACAAAAAGCATTGCATAGCCAGTCTGAGTAGATATAGTAGTAAAAATCTAGACCGGGCTTTGCCTTCACTAAATTCAAACCTACTGGCATGAATGAGACTGGCTTCACTGTTTTGGTCGGTGTAGAGGTTACCTTTTCTCCTCTCTGGGATATCACTCCTTCCTCAAGGTCTCCAGGACACTGCAGCTCCTACATAACACATACTCTGTATTTGGAGCTCTTTCAGTAGGGCCTGGCAAATAACACTTCTGCTATTTCTGCTTACAAGGGTCTCATTTATCAAGGCTTCATTATACACCACACAAGACAAAATAGGCTGAAAGGAGTGTTTCATGATGCCCTTTTTTTAATGGGAAGAAGGGGGAGTCACTAAGATATAAGAGAGATGATGCTACATTTAAATTATCATCCTGGGTCACGCTCTGGCTTGTTCCATGTAGGATCTAGTGTCCTGGAGGGATCAGCACCAGCTGCAACAGAATGATGAAGGAAGATATGCAATAGAGAATCGTGAAACTATCTATCTGTTCAAAGCAGATCACCTTCCTCCCTTCCTCCATTATTCTTGGTTTATCCACCCCTCAAACTACTTCATTTTAAGAACCCTTTCTATAATGACTCTAGAAGTGAAAACCTTCAGGCTTTCAGGGTTTAGGCATAAGAGAGCAAGTAAATTTGGAATCTGTAAAACTCAGTGCCAGAACATATTACATGGTCTCTGTGTTGTGCATTTCCTTATAATCATGTTCTCTTTCAGGTTTTCGTATAATATATTGGTGATCTTCGTAGCTAGCTTTTCAAGCTTCCAAAGCCCTCTTTGCATATTCTGTAACTGACCACTTAAAGCCATCCATTTTCATAACATGAAAGAACTGAAGTACCTTTGGGCAACATGGTTCTGCCTATGGGAATGTCACATAGCACCCACACACCAACACCCCTTTACTTGCATGTATGAGAAATTTCAAATTGAAATTCAGTACTCAAATATATTCAAAAATATTAACAAAATATCTGTGAGCAATAATTTCTACTTAAATTACCTTCCCTGTCTCAGTCATAGGCTAAATTCTATTCTTGTATTGTTTATGCAAGGGGAAAGTTTGTCCTAAATGAATAAAATTTTCAAAACAAAGAAAAATACTTCTCATTATCCTTTTGATTAATCAAATCCAGCATGAAATATTTATATAGATAAAATAAAAGATATGAATCAAACTGAAAGTCTGGAGCACATAGGCCACTGAGATTATTTAGACAAAATAAAAATCAAAGTAGAAAAGATAAATTGCGTAATTAAGCAGTTGACTGCTCTCCTGCACTGCAGCAGGTTTATAGCAACAGATTTTGAAACTGTTTTCCAGTGGAACATCAGGTTTGTCACAGCCCTGGACATTAATATTTCCTCTCCTTTTCTCCCCACTAACATTGTGATCAGTGAACTGGGCAACAATTAAGTATTTTCTTTAGATTTAATAGATTGTATAAGGTGTCACCTTAAAATTTAAGAATATCTCACTGTTAAATACCAGCAACAGAAATACAAGAAACCCAGAAGCAAATCCAAAGAATATAATAAAAATGTAAAAAAAAAAAGAAAAAAGAAAAGGCAGCATAGAATAAAATCAAAACTTTGCCTCCACTGGAAATCAGTCCATCAAGAACACTCCTTTTTCAGAAAGCTCCTTCCCAGCGCTGACTCTTGCAATCTGCATGTGGGATAGCAGCCAGCTGGGACTATTTCATACCACAATGGGAGAACACAGTCCAGCAAAAGGTGACAGTCGGGGACATCTGCTGCAGGCATCTTCTCAGCCGCAAAGTGGCAGGGACGAAGGAGCATGAGACACTGACCCTTGGGCAGTTAAAGAAGCAGCAACTCAGGTAGTCTCATCAACACATCCAGCGCCAATCAAAATTTAAAAAAAGAATATATCAGCAGCCTGTGGGCCTTCTGGAAAACTACCTGTTCCCGAGAGACCCCATGTGTCATGCCTAGGTCAGAAGAGTAGTTGTCTTGAGCCTCCAGCAGAGCTGATGGAGAATGACAAGCACAGTCTAAAGGCAGTTCAGACTCCACTTTGATAGGACAAACTATTCACTCGACCTGCTCCTTTGTCTTTACCAATTAGAGAGAGATTAATATAACTCCACATCTATCTTGGAGACCTCAGTTAGCTGGAGGAATCCAGGCTTGCA